CACAAAGGCTTCCCATGTCGGCTCCACTCTACCCTTGGCATATTTTCACCATTGACCCGCGTCTCCCTTAAGGTAGTAACTCGCTAGAGTCACTCTTAATTCACTATCTTCGATGTAAAGTATCTCAAATGTCTTCACAGTTTGTTCGAGCAACTCATCCACTTTCTTGGGCTCGGGGCCACCATGGAACTCATCTGGTTTAGCCCGCAAGAACTCTCTAGTACGGAAACTCACCCTTGACTCCGCGGTGTTATCTCGGGCTTGATTCTCCACCCTTAACAAGTTCATAGACTCTCTTAAAGCCCCTGCCATTTCTCAAGGTACGGCCCCCATTGCAGTTTGGCCCGCTTATCCCAGGATTCCCGCCTGCCCCACTTGTTCGGCCACATTAGCTTGGCCGAACTCTTCCTTTTGCACTGGAACCTCATGGACCGGTACCTCATGCACACCTCGATGAGCCCTACCACGCCTCCCGCCTCTACCACCACGAGTTTGACCTCTTCCTGACATTCTATAAATGACAATAGAATTAATTTAGCACACTAACCCACACGTGCCCGCAACTTGCCTTACATGTTTGATCACAATAATTCTATATATTCCTCTACTATATAACAATTAAATTTCACCCCATATAAGCACTTAGTCATGTAAACACATACGGATTATACTCTTATGATGAGATTCGTCCCAAGAAAAACCAAAAAATTCTTACTAAAATGAGTATTGATCAAGTACCCTTCTAATAAGACCTCAAGGAATTTAACATGCGCAAACAACATCCCAAAAGTCCAATCCCATACCCATTTAGTCACATAAGCATGTTATCACATAGTCACAAAATGCATAACACTTCCTAAGCATGCTAAATGAACCCATTGTGGTCAAACAACCACTTCACACGAGCTCCAAGTATTCAAACCCGGTAGCTCTAATACCAAGTTGTAACGCCCCAAATTTCTAACCCAAATGATAATACAACAATCATGGCTCTTTCAAGGAAAATCAAATATAAATCTCCAAACTTACATTACATGATACAGTAGTTCTTCATGCAATAATATATTAATCCAATAATAAGTAAATAAACAAATAAATACCCCCAAGGGTTTACAAGTTTCCAAGGCTTGAGCTTGGTTACACAAAACGGTTATTCAAACCCACACAAACACAGCCATTGGCTTACACACAAAGTCACAGCAAAGTGAGAGCATTGTATTCCCAACACACATACTTCTACGCCCCTAGTTGGGTGGGATCATCACATCTTTTCCTGCACAAAATTCTCGTAGGGTGAGCATAAAGCCCAATAGAAAATTCTTAACAAAGTATATATATTTTATACAAGTCTCAAGAGATGAAATGCACATGCCATGCTATGCCTTTTTTGAAGATAAATCACATTTTCATATTTTGAAAACCATCATGCTGAATGATGTCATGCAATTTCAATTGTTCAAAACTTTATAATTTATTTCAAGGGCGGTAAATACGACTTTGTTAATCCCTAGGTCGGTGTCTGCAAGTAGACTATACAAGTACTACTAAATTATCATTTTTACCGATATTAACCGGAAGGCTCGACACCTATCCGCGCGGATTTTCAGTCTTTCACCCCGGACTCTCAGGCCAACTTATTCAATATCATCTACACCACTTATCAAGACTTACTAACGTATTTATCCCAAAACCATTCCATAAAAACTTGTTTCTCAACATTCTTTTCTCAATGCAAGTTTTCAAATCAACTTTCAAAGTTTAATGTAATCAAATGAATTGATATGCCAATTTCACAAGATGAATATAAATACTTTTATTCCAATTCATCATCCAAGAAATAACACAATTCCCTCTCCTCAAGTATCCTCAACAATTAGTCATTTGAAGACTATTTCAACGTTTTGAACAATAATTTCTAAAATGAACAACAATTCTCATATTTCCTGAAATTCATCATTTATATAAATATAAATAAGAAATTTTCCAAACATCCATTTATTTTGACACACAAAATGTGATACCCTTGTTCCGTAATATGTTAATTGGTCCTTAATATGAGTATGATTATGTGTTTAATATGATTTTGTGTGACATTATGTGAAAATATGTGGTTTTGAATTTCTATCTATTTACCGTAGGAATATCTGTTTGATCATCTGCTTTGGAAATTAAATTGAAGGCCATATCGGCCACAGAACCCGAAATTGATTACGCCATTGTGATTGGCATAATTTTTAGAGCCTACGGTGAAGTTTAATTGAAAAATTGATTCGAACCAGATTAAGTTGATTAAATAGGTGAATTAGTGCCCAATTATTTATTATTATTAAATGGTGCTAGTGGGAACTTATGTAAAGAGGCACTACACCCTCTATTCTCTCCTTATAACTTCATGTGGCTGATTTGAACTCAAGATAGAGAGAGGGCCGGCTATAGAGAGAGAGGGAGAGAATTGTGTAATTTTTGGCTCAAGCTTGGGGATTTGAAGATTTAACTCAAGAATTGACTAGAGCTTGGGTGTTTGAAGCTCCTAGGTGAGTGAATTTGTGTATATTAGTTGTAATTTTTGAATTCAAGTTTGATTAATGGTCTAGAACTTGGATTAGTTTGATTATAAGGGAATTGAGTTGATTTTGTTGTATTTGAAGCCAATAGATGCATGCATGTAGGAAATTACTATGAATTTTCATATTTGAACACAATGTGCATAATCAATGTTGAATCTTGTATGGATCCATCTATTTGATCATCTCTTCACCAATTAAGTTGATATGAATGAATATTTCTCACATGCAAGAGTAGATCATGGAGGTATGAGCTTTGCATGTTTGAATTTGATGTATTGGTGATGAGTTTGGGTTAATTTGAGGCATGCATGTAAGTAATTCAAGAAATGGAGCTTCATTGTGTTATGATTTGGTGTTGGTATCATGTGGGTATATGTATGCGTGAAATTAGAGCCATAATATGCAAGAAATGTAGTTGAAATGTCAAAATTGAACTCAAGAAACCATTCTGGAAAACCCAGAATTTATGATGTTGACTCGAGCGGGGGAACCAATGCACAAGCGGGGAATTCATGCTCCCAATATTTTTCTACAGGCATGGGTCCGCTCGAGCGGGTAAGTCCACGCTCTTACCCGCTCGAGCGGGGAGCTATGTAGACGGACCTTCTGCTCGAGCGCCCGAGTTCACGCTCGAGCGTGAATTTGATGCAACCAGCACTTTTGCAGACCAATTGGGTTCGCTCGAGCAGGGACCCTATTTTCTGAAATTTTGTTTATACGTTCTGTGTTTCGTTTTCCGTTCTCCTTCACTTCTAAGTACTCTTAGGCATGCATTGAGCATTGTAATTGAGTTAAAGAGATAAGAATAAAGCCTAAAGAGAAAAATGTGAATTTAAGAACGGATTGAATTGTTGGTGACCCTTTTTGTGTTCATGGACTGTGTAGGGTCGAGCTCCAGGGCAAACCAACCAACCGATCACTGTGAGTAATATCGATATTTGGAAGCTTGTCATTTGTGTTGCATTGAGTTGAACCACTATGAATCACTAAGTTTAATTTATGTTGCTTTAGCTCATTTCATTTTTATTACTCCCATTTATATTGTTGCACAAATTTATTTGTTTATTTATTGAGTTAATATTTTTAATTTAGCAAATTATTTAGAAACTCAATTCACCCGCGCTTGATTGCTTTCTGAGTAACAGAATACATATAGAAACTAGAAAACTAGCCCATCCCAAGAGAGGGAACATTAGCAGCCACTAGACATGACACACAGGTCATTGCCTGAGACAGCCCCAGCCCGACGCAGACCCAGCCCATCGTCATCACAGCACGAGGCTACTTCGGCCACCCAAAGCAAGAAATCACATTGCGAACCCCTGTTAATAATCGAATAGACATGACTCGCAACCCATACCTGATTAGCCACCTCACAGTCCCGCAACCAGTGGCCACATTGATAGGGTGATTGTTGTACACCTAAGAGGCGATATAATCATAAGAGATTAAAAATTCTATAAACTAAAACTTCAGACATATTTTAAGAAGCGTTTAAAATTTTAAGTAATACAAATTGTAATTATCACAATAATTCAATTTATTTGAACTAAACATATTCAGTATTCAAATTTTAAATACTGAATCGAATTGAGTTATCAAACATTACACACTCCCAATACAAAACTCACACAACTTGAAATCAAACCAATACTTCTAAGCTATGCTTAATTGACAAGACTAATAGTGAAGATATTAATAATCCCATCAAATTAGTGTGTATTCACTATCTAATTAGATTAGTATGATAAATTATCCTCTTGTCCATTGTTCGATTTGCATTGAATAAAAAAACATATGAATGTAAGATTACAACTATATTTATATTCTTTTTCAATCTTACCCTTCATCAATGTTTTTTCACAATCTTTACTTTATCAAAATTTCTTCATAAACGTGGTTTTGAAAAAAATTATAAATAAATAAATAAAAGCAAAATAAAAATACAAAATACAAAGGTCGTGTTTGGTTTGTTTTAAAAAAAAAATAAAAAAAAATATAAACTAATTTGATAAAATAAATATCAAAAAATATTTTTAAAAATTATTTTTAACCTTCTAAAATATAAAATTATATAAAAATAATAAATGTTTTAATTTTTAGTCAAGGGTAAAAGAGTCTTTCTATTTTATTTTCTAACTCAGGATATATAGTTTCACCCCTACCTCATTATTAATAATCCTACAAATTTGTTGGATTAATTATCTATTAAATTAATGATTCTAAAATAAAATTTCAAAACAAACACAGAATTATTGGACCCACGAATTAATAATCTTAATCTCATACTCTAATCCTATCAATCAAACATGTTCGTATACCACACCACATTCATTATGGAATGTTCACAACCATAAAGGGTTAGCTTTCTACATAGGTTGCTAACAATAAAATGATATTCAAATTGGTACTCTCCTTAGGCCAGATGCATTATTTGCACAATCAGCATTCTATACGCAAAACTTAAACAAATAACAGTCCAACCAAGACCCTTTTTTCATTCATTTCATATTAGTTCTCACCAAATCACCCCACCCAAACAGACTGTCAGTGTCAAAAAGAATATTTAGCAGCAGAATACAAGGAAAATATGTTCATTAAAATTTACAATTAGCACCTGCCAAGCAACATTTTAGACAAAAGCACGACTTTCTATGGTTTAGAAATTTCTCTGCTGCAAATTGACTTGGTCTATGTTGGGTAGACTTTCAATCTTCATACATGAGGACACTACTGGATACCTGCCTTGATGTTTTGGGGCTCCAATATGACATTCAAAATTTTACCGGGAACATAACTTTTCTTTCTGACATTTCTACAGTCCAAATACTTGGAGAGTTTTTGGTCGATTGAAGCCAGTTTGAAAGCATCGTTTTCTGTACATGTTTCTTCAACCTGTATTGTACCCCTCGTTTTCCCATTAATCTGAATTGGTAGGACCACTGTGGACTCCTTTCGGTAAACAGGATCAGCCTGCAAAGTCTCATAATAAATGACAGAAAATTCATTAATTAAGTTTGACAGAAAATGAGTCTAAATTCTTCAGAGCCTAAACAAATCTATCCTCTTCTTTTAATACATGCTTTAATAAAAATAAATAAATAAATAAGAAGAAGAAAAAAGAAGATGAATTTCAAGTTCTAATAACTGACCAAGATCCCAGCCAAAACCACATATAAATAGCTGGCGAGTTTCTGCATTAATTTGGAGATATAAGTGGTGTCTCCTCATCACTCCAACTTCTGTACATTCAAGCCATATGTGCAGAAACTTGCCAAAACAATGAAACAGTAATATTTTATGACTCTGAACATACTTGATCTTTCAAGATGAAATTGAAGTAAACGTGACTTGTGTGCAACTTTCTAGATTCACTCTAATTTCGTCTGGACAGATGTTTAAGAACTCAAAAATACAAACCTTTTTCAGCTCGTGGTCTGCAATATGGAATGAAGCAGTAATATTTTATGACTCTGAACATACTTGATCTTTCAAGATGAAATTGAAGCTATAAGAAATTGAGAGCAACTTTCTAGATTCACTCTAATTTCGTCTGGACAGATGTTTAAGAACTCAAAAATACAAATCTTTTTCAGCTCATGGTCTGCAATATGGAATGAAGCAGTAATATTTTATGACTCTGAACATACTTGATCTTTCAAGATGAAATTGAAGCAAACATGACTTGTGTGCAACTTTCTAGATTCACTCTAATTTCATCTTGACAGATGTTTAAGAACTCAAAACACAAATCTTTTTCAGATCGTGGTCTGCAACATGGAATAAAACAGTAACCAAGACAAGCAGCGAGAGAACATAGTCATTCTTTCCACACCCACCCATGCGCGCGCGCACACACACACGGAGGGAGAGATCTACTTGATGTGAAAGATGAACCACACACAATGCCATATTCAAGAAAAATAGAAACCCGTACCTTCGGAAAAGGCTCATATGCCAACGAATTTGAGTGTCCCAAGCGAGACCAAAGCTCCTCAGCTATGTGAGGAGCATATGGTGAAAGCAATAAGACAAATGATTCAATGGCTGACCTTAGAAGTTTATCCCACTACAGATGTGAAAATGCAGAAAACTGATTAGATAATTTACCAAAAAAATTATATAATTGATGGACAAATAAAACATAATTCAGGCCATTAAATGATGTGAGCAAATCAAACATATGGTAGAGCACCAAGACTACCAAACAAGCAACTGGTTCACATGTAGACGATGCTTTCTTTCTTAAAATGGGTGTACTCAATGAAGAAGACCCCCGCTTACAGGGAAAGGTAATAAGTAGCCTTACTCTCACATTCGTTTAACTTTTTTTCTTTTCTTTTCTTTTCTTTTTTTTGAAGTGTTGAATTGCATTGCATGTTTCAAAAGGGTATTGTTGTGAACAAGAGCAATAAGACAGAGAACCCACACTCTCTCATTTCAGCCATCACTTTCACCTACTTCTTCATTTTTCATTTTGCTTTTGCGCTTCTACAATAATTTGAATGCCCCATATTCCTGATGTGAAGTGTCTCACACCTTCACAGCAAACAAACCTTCCAGTACAATTAATTTGTCAATGGGATGCTACTAAAAGTGTAAAACAAGTTACTGTATCAGTATCCCAACATATTACCAACCACCTAGAGAAAGTACCAATTGCAGTAAATCACATGCCCATATCAAGAAGAAGAAGAACTTGTTAAGGAGCCAAATGACAGAGATAGATAATAGAGACCTTATATGCTGCATTAATGAACTCCATCATTGCAGAGATTCCAGTGTTGAACCGTGTCCCTTCAATCTCTTCTGTGACCTACAAGCCAAACCAACTAATTGGTCAAAGCTTCATATTATGTTCAAACTACAACACCTAGGGGCGTGATGACATCTAACAGACCTATCTGCCTTAGAAATGCACCAAACACTAAATTGAAAGCAATTCAAAGCACTAATTGGTCAGAGCTTCATATTATGTTCAAACTACAGCACGTAGGGGCATGATGACATCTAACAGACGTATCTGCATTAGAAATGCACCAAACACTAAATTAAAAGCACTTGTATAGATTGTCTTACTTTTCATTTCTCCATTTAAACATCAAAATCCCCATTGGTAACATAATTATTATTATTATTATTTTAAATCTTTGCTCCCCTTCACACATATTACGCGATTTGTATCATGCAGCTCTTTAATTTCAAATTCCAAAAATTTAAAATTTTCAAATTTGATAAGTTTGACACTATAGACCCACCTCAAATTTTACCACCCTTACCCATGCCAATGCAACAGGTTAATATGCATTGATAAATAGTGTCCAATAGCATGGCTAAAAATGGGTGACCCAGTGCTCAAGGCTCCAGCTAACGTGGGGCTTGGGTAGAGCATGCCCAGTAGCATGGCTACGAGATAGAAATTTGATTACAGAATTTTAAAAAATAATAATAAATAAAAAATTCAATTTTGTGCTCTCAACAAGATTATAATAGCAAAGTTTTATTATAAACTTAAAGCCAAATATCAGAAACTTAACAAATATACAGAACTGTTCTCAAGATCACAAGCTTGAAGTTATCTGAATAAAAATTAACAGAGATTAACTAAAAAGATGAATACCATGCTCATTCCCACCCATGGGCTTTGCAATGATCACCTTAACATGGCAATTCACTGTATCCCCAGAATTATGCTCGGATCAAAAACTGGGTGTGACCAACGGACAGCAGCCAAACCAGTTATAACACTACAACATCTCATGGTAAGAAACCTAGGCATGCAGCCAATGAGAATAGGAAGGAACAAATATTGTGGCTGCTGCACAAATGGGATTTAAAAAAATTTTGAAGAGAGAGAGAGAGAGCAACAACCTACAATGCAAAAAATGGATAACTAGACCACTAGCTTTGTGAGTTGTGACAGCAATGACCAAAATGGATGTAGATAATAAGCTTATTATTTTTAACATTAACAATAAAAGGCCACGCACAAAATCTAAAAACAGCTCCCTTCTAAATTTAGAAAATAGTACACACTGCTATACGTATTATTTTGTTTTAACATTGACTGCTTCCTTTATTTTATAAAAATGGCATGATGTCCATATGAGCAGCTTCTTTCCATAAAAAAATTTATTTTTATGTCAATTAATTATTTGTAGACTTAAAAAACATGGTTCCTATATCTTCAAATATGGTGGTCAGGTGACTTTAGATTTCAAACCATACAAATCTTCGACATTGATGAGAGACATCACTTAGGATAAACAAGCTTCAGCAATATTGCACAGCCTTCAAAGAGCATCTTTTAAACACGTGCGCGCACACTTTCACACACACAATGTAATAAACAAAACACACTAGTCGTGAGCTTTATTGTATATTCTTTTGTTTGGTTATAAAATTGCTTATTTACCCAAAATAAATAAATAAACAATTCATAACATATATGCGCACTATTGCATCACTTAGGATAAACAAGCTTCAGCAATATTGCACAGCCTTCAGAGAGCATCTTTCAAACACGTGCGCGCACACTTTCACACACACAATGTAATAAACAAAACACACTAGTCGTGAGCTTTATTGTATATTCTTTTGTTTGGTTATAAAATTGCTTATTTACCCAAAATAAATACATAAACAATTCATAACATATATGCGCACTATTGCATTCCAATTTCTAACTAAACTAGACCTCAAAAGAGTAGAAGAGGCAAGGAAGAAAAACTAATAGCATAAAAAAAATTGAAAAGAAAATAATGATAATACGTTATCAATGCATTTATGGAGAAAACGAAGTTGTTCCAATAGAGGCTCCTTGTCAATTGCCACTGTTCCATCTCTGAATGTACCATTGGGTAAAGATGAACCAACTATCAATCTCCAAACTGTCCCCAAAAATCGATGAACGCCTTCAATACCAAAAACCAAAAATAATAGCCTTGTCTCTACTAACTTTAGTGGAATGCAATACCAAAAACCAAAAATAATAGCCTTGTCTCTACTAATTTTAGTGGAATGCATCAAGATGGGTGAGAAAATATATGACAGATGTAGAAAAACACACTTTTTCATCGGGTATTCTTTCTTGATGATGCTTTTTCATCAGGTATTCTTTCTTGATGATGCTCTCCGAACACATCAACAGAGTCTGCAGATATGAAATTCCCATCTGAATCTCTGCATGCCATATATTGGACCTGCCACTTAAATCATTAAGAACTAGCAACGGGGAAACATTACTTTGTGACCAAGCAACTGTACTTCCCCTCGGATAATCCCCTGGTTTGAATTAGAACACCAATGCCATAGAGAACCTGCAACAAAGTTTGAATTAGAAGCAATCAAATATACATATATATATATACAGCACCAACAAAAGAAATACGGTCACCAATTTGGTATCAGAAAACAACTATGGACGGCACCAGGCTTTAATTTACTAGCCAGCCTTTGATCATAGAAGGCCTCGTTTTTTTAATTTCGGTGCTTCCTTCATCACAGTGCTTCTCAAATACGTATCTTACCAATTGGGCTCTCCATCTCCTCAGACTGGCTCAGATTACTATGGTAAATAAACTTTTCTTGAAAACCAGAATACAATCATTACAATCAACCTACAATTTGGCTTGACTCATAACAATCTTTTTATGATAACATCAATTACTTGTGTTCCAAAAAAAAATGAATATTGCCTATAATGCTGCATGGAAAGGGAGACACCAACCAGAAACAAGGACGCCTCAAAAGGGGGTGTAACTAAAATGAGAATGTTGAGAAAGATGAACAATGTTATGAGAAAATATAAAATAAGGCATAAATGCATTAGGGAAAACATAGAAGTGACATCATAAAATGAGCGGAAGTTGTTTGAAATGGAATGGCCATGTGCAATTTAGACCAATTAACATGCCTGCAAGAATGAGCGGAAGTCTTAGAGGACCTCTTGTCCTCTGTACTTACTTCTTTTATTTAACAAATTTCCTTTTGTTGCAGATCAAAATAAATAAATAATAAAGAGTGATTGCTTCATGTTAAGTGTGCTAAAAAACATAAAAGAAGGCCAAGAAGGACTTGACTGGGACATGGCTTTTAATGAAGCCAACAGTAGAAAAGAAATCCATGTAGTTGACGCCAAGTAATTGGAACAAAGGCTTGTTGAGTTGTTGAGTAAAGTTTTATTATTTTTCTCTTCTCACACATGACCACAGATTAGCAACAGCTAAAATACTGATGATGCCACCTTCCTAAAACGACAATGATATAAAACAAGATTTTTAAAATTTAAGGTGTTGTTCCTTCTTATTGATATACTAAAATTGTATGCACTTTTCTGAAAAGAATAATTTATTTCAGACAGCTTACACATAACTATAGTTTAGATCATACAAATAGCATACAGCTGATAATCAGTGAACTGACATTGAACAAACATGTTATATTATTAAATTTCTCCTTTCCACTTCTGACAAGTCCAGCATCCACTCTCCTTTCTCTCTTTTGTCAAGTCCAGCATCCACTCACCCATTCAACCAAAGTATGTATTTTTGTGCAGGGCCACACAAGTGGAATATATATGACAGAAAACATTTCTTTCTTCTTTGCTCTTTACTTTGTGTTTTCTTCAACAAACCACCCTCTATATCCCTATGTCCTATGTCCCTCCGGGCATCTCCATGCTTCACTCTCAGGTTTTCCTTTCTATTCAATTCATCTTCCCTGAACTTAAAGTACTTCAATGTTTTTCAGAAAAAAGAAAATTCTGGTAAAAAATACAGCCCACATTAAAAAAAACAAAGAAATCTCAATACCATTGCACCATTGGCACTAATACAGTAAAAATAAATAAATTTTAAAATTTGAAACAACAGATTACCAGCATGAACCAGCCCACTGTGGCATGGTGTTTGTTTCGCGTCTGGCAGGCTTTCCCGACAAAGGATCAGTGGTCACAACCTGAAAATCAATCATCCAAGTTTACATGTATGAATATTAAAATGAAAAACAGCTAGACAATTACTAACAATTCAGAAATAAATAATATGAGAAGAGCCAGCATGCTGGCCAAATTGGTGTTGAGGGCGCTAATAGTGGACATGTAGTCCAAAGTGACAATAGTTTGTTTGAAAGATAGGTATGACTGAATTTGCAATCACTGCAAATGAGCGCAACTAATCAAATAGGTGTTTTCATTTGCCTACTCATTCATGATGGCAATTCATGCTCCATACAATTGAAGAGAAGTTACAGAAAAGAAGAAGAAAATTTAAAATCAGAGTAACATCCAATCCAACTTGCTACAGGACTCCAAGCATTTGTTCGTTTTGCAGGTCTTCTCAGCAATCAGACAAAACTAATGACCAGCCAGACAACAATTTTGCCATGAAGAGTTTGATTTTGAGATCTTGGAAATGGATAAAAGGGTAAAATTCAAGCACACGTGTTTGATTTTGAGATTATTGGAACGAAAATGTACACAAGGGGGGTGAACTAACAGTGCTAGGTAAGCGTTTTAGGCAATTACTGACATTTTGACATCCGCAAGTACAAACTCAGATAAGTAAAATACTGCAGGACTCATCTATCCATCTGTTAAACAAAAATGACAAAACAGAAAGGACAAAAAAAGGAAGAACACATCAAGAAACTGCTTTTGAAAGATTTTAGCCAATTATTAACATTTTCACTTCTCCAAGAACAAAATCAGGAAGTAATGTAATGAAGAACTCATCAATTCATCTGCTAAAAATAAATGGCAAACAGATAAGAGAATAAAGAAGGCAAAACACACCCAAGAAACTGCTTTTGAAAGTGGTGGTTCTCCTGTCCCAGTGGGAGTAAAATCATCCAACTCAGGAAGGGCAAGAGGCAGCTCACTTTCAGGAAGTGGAGCACCCTCACCTGTGTCCTTCAAGAAAACAACTGGGATGGGCTCCCCCCAATAGCGTTGCAGAGCAAAAAGCCAGTCCCTCAACTTGTAATTCACCTAAAGGAAGACAAGTTTCACACAAGATCAATTGTATTGAATGGTAGAAGCTAAAAACACCTCCAAACTCCCTCTCCTGCCCTTCCATCACCCCTCAAAAGGGGAAAAGAATGCTTCAAATAAACTAAGAAAAGTACACCTTTTTAGATAAACAACCACTGAAAGTCACCTTTTTGTTCCCATTTCCAATTTTCTCCACCCATTCAATGACTTTGGAAGCAGCTTCTTTACTAGGTAAGCCATTGATGTCCAGACCCAAAATTGGACTTGACGAATTTACACTAATAGCTTCACCTGAGTAAGGTCTTTCAGAATCACCAGAACTTCCACCATCTGGCATCACAACCCAGCAGATAGGAATATCATATTTCAAAGCGAACTCATGGTCATGCATGTCATGTGCCGGTACAGCCATTATTGTTCCTGTACCGTAGCTGCAACAGAACATGCTTAATATGTTACAGTCAATTCAAATCCTAATACTTCGCAAAGAATGCAATTAGTTAAAATTTTTGCCTAGTTGACAAAGTGACGTACCAATGCACTTTATATCCTACATAATAGATTAGACAGACATCGCTATTAAGCATAATACATCAGCCAATGCTAAAAAGAACGAGAACATAAGAAATTAAGAAAAGGGTTTTATAGATCTCCCCAAAACATAATCCGCAATCCAAATAGGGATAGTTAGTTGGGCCACAAGTCTTCGGCTTGCCCTCAGCGAGGAGAGCAACAACCAGCACAGTCTTTGACTAGTTCTCAGAGTCATAGCCAAACAGAGAGGGCAACCGCCTACCTATTATCAGTATGGGCAGACCGAGCATTTGATGAAGTTTTGCCCTCAGTTAGGTTGCACATCTAGTGCGTCTGATTTGAGACAAGCATAGAGACATCTGCTGGCTTAGTCAATTCAGGCCTTGAGGGCCAATTAGGGATCCACAGCTCAGTCTGTGCATCGGGCCTATGCTCCGAGGGGAGAGCAGGTAGATCAGAGACCTCTGGGGCATGTGTATACTATTACTACGTTGGATCAGTTAGCAATACCTCCGATTGTAAGAGGTAACTTTTTGTTGTTCAATTCTCTAGCCAATATGTTAAGTTATAAGGGTGCATCTCATCCATTTATATCATCTTCTTTTGTATTTGCCTTGGGGTTGGAGTTTGATGAGTTGGTCTCATCTAGTTGTTGAGACACCTGTTGAGGATAAGGTGGGTATAGATTGGTTGACCTACTTTCGAGCTTCGATAGATTGTCACCGTAGGAGGGTGTTGGTGTGTACACCATCTGGGGATCGTTTCTATTTCTTGTGTGACCGAGGTGATATGTTTATTCTTTGCTATATGACCTTAAGGGTTGAGGAGAGCTGAGTTTCCTCTTTGCTATCACGGTAGGCGATGAAGGTAGTGTTGTCCGCGGTGATATACCGAGAGTGGTTCGAGAGTATCCGGGAAGTTACAACTAATTTACCTCTACTCAACTAATTGATACACGCACACATACTCTAACAAACTTTTACTCTAACTAACTAACCAACTGTAGGCTTGAGCTGATGATGTGGTTATAGCTGCAACACTAATGATGATGATGAGCTGCAACTGTTGTTTGATGTCTTATCATGCCCCTGCAAGCTGATGGGGTGAGTGAACTCCATAAGCTTGAACTTGAGATAAGAGAATTGACAGACGGATAAAGGTTTAGTGAAAATATCAACCAACTGGTCCATAGTAGGAATGTATTGCAAAGTAAGTTACTTGGTAAGCACTTTGTCTCGGAGAAAATGACAATCAACCTCGATATGCTTAGACCTTGAGTGGAAAACAGAATTAGAAGCAAGGGCAATGGCGATACATTATCACACCACAAAATAGGAAGAGTGGGAGAAGAAACAACAAGATCTTGAAGTAACATTGTAATCCATGAAATTTTATAGTAGTCTGAGTAAGAGCTTTGTATTTAGCTTCAATAGAATTTCAAGGAACTGTAGCTTGTTTCTTTGTAGACCAAGAGATAAGATTGGAGCCCAAGAAAATACAATGCCCAGAGGTGGACTTCCTGTCAGTAACACCCCCAGACCAGTTAGAGTCGAAAAATGCATGAAGATCAAAGGAACTAGGATGAAACCACAAGCCGTGGTGAAGAGTACCCTTGATAAATTGAAGTAGCCTCTTGACTGCAGAGAAATGCCTAATAGTGGGAACATGCATATTCTAACAACACTAAGGCCTCGTTTGGGAACAGGCTAATTTAGTAACTTTTTGGCTATTTGGCTAAAAAGGTAGGTAAAAAAAACTTATATGTTTGGGATGACTTTTTGGCTAATTACGAAAAGATGTGCAAAAAGTAGAGAGAAAAGAGAATCTTTGACTTTTTGGTGTGAGTTGTTGGCTTTTTGGCTAAAATGGTAACTTTTTGGCTTTTTGGCTAAAAAGGTTAGTCCCCAAACGGGGCCTAATTGACAACAAAAGATAAATCAGGTCGAGTAATTGTGAGATACTGTAAGGCACCCACTAAGATTCTATAGAGAGAGGGATTTTGAAAAGAAGCATCAGAATTAGGAACAGAATGAGGTTTGGCTGCAATAGGGGAAGGGCAAGGTTTGCAATCAGCCAAACCTCCCTTTGTGAGAATATCTTAAGCATACTTTGCTACGACAGAAAATACCCTGAACCAAGAGTGCCATCGATAGAAATACCAAAAAAAAAAAAAAAAAAAAGAGAGATTTTTTCTAACTCCTTCATGGAAAAAGCTTGAAGCATTTTGGAAATCAAATTCTTAAAATAAAAAGTGTTATCACCAGTGAGCAAGATGTCATCCACATACACTAGGAGAACTGTAATGCCCCCAAAAAAATATACAATAAATACAACCCATAAGCAGAAAGATAATAGAAATAATATGCTTTCATTTATCAAAGTTCGTATCCAAAAGATAACACATGCGATATACATTCACAAACTGTTCATCCGGAATCTACAACATGTGTTGCAATGATAAGAAAAGTAAAAACTAAACAGGTGATCATATGCCCTATAGACTTACATTTTTCCAAGTCATTGCTTGGTTACAACAAAATGAGCCTAGCTCAATACAGTTAAAGCCCTTGGCTATACAAAAGAATACACAAAGAAAGAAGCTCTTGCTCCCAAATGTCCCTCCAAACTATTGTCTTGGCGAAAGCATATCACCAACACCTGAAAATGGTTTTTCCCAAATAGGGTGAGCCAAAGCCCAGTAGGAATAATCTAACACAATATATGAGATTTAACAAAGATATAAGTACACTGTGCATATGCAATGCTTGTGACAAAACATTCACATTTTTATATAATCATAAAGTACCAAGTTCATATCTTATTCCATTTTCCTTCAATTCATTTCAATTCATAAGCCAATTTCATTATCTTTCAACAACCCAACTAAGACTACAACTTAGTGGTTATCTAATCGACACAATTACCACACAAACACTTCAATCTGCCATTTTACGGAAATTTCGTCCGCGGAATCGGCACCCATGTATATGCACGATTTCAGGACTTTCACCCAGGATACTTCGGTCAACTTAATTTTCAATGGAGTCCATCCCCTATCTCCTCCCAAACATGGAGTACATCCCCTTTCTCATCCCAAACATCATACATATGCAATGTATTTAAAACATAGTCATATTCAATGACAACCAACAATAGATTAGTTTTAATTCACCTAATCCTCATGCAATTTCTACAACAATTATAGCTATCCTCCACCGATAGCCCAAAAAAGTTATTTCTAAA